GAGATAGATAGATAGATAGATAGATAGATAGATAGATAGATAGATAGATAGATAGATAGATAGATAGATAGATACTATTATTATTAGATAGATGGATAGATATAGATATAGATATTTTACACTTATTAATACAATTTAACATGATAATGATTCTACCTGTAAAACAATGCATTTGTATTTGCATTTGCAGCTAGACAGCTTCTTTGTGCTCATAGACAATATTCCTATGAGTCTTGACTTAAAAAATCTATTCGGTTATATTTGATTATCTTTGGTTTTATATTACATACTACATACCCTAGTGACTTTCAACTTGGAATAAATGTAACTACTTTTTTAAACATTTCTTTAGAAGTTATATTTTAGGACGAATATCTTAGGAGACGAAAATGCTTGTGATTGTGATTGAAAAGATCATAATCATGATAAAAGAGATAAGTCTTTAAATATAAACAAGGCTGGCAATGAAGCCATGGCGACGGTGGTTGCTGTTAGGGTTATTGTTTGCATGGCACTGCCATCATTTCATGATTTTGAGGAAGACTTGGTACTAGACAGATACAGTGCACTCCTCCCCTGAGTGTATAGTGAACGAGCCCCGGGGTCACAGAAAGTAGGGCCATCCAAGGCAGAGAGATCTTCCCAAGGGTTTCCAGGAATGTGGGCATAGATGTGGGTCAGAAACATGCCTGTGGACATTCCATTCCTGTGGACAAAATGTCTGTACCATTCCTAGAATTTTTGCAAACTGCACACAATACTGTACCATTAGGCTCCTCCCTGAGACGTCACCAAAAACGACTTTCCGCCTTTTACAGGATTTTATATGGGGCTCTGCTCTCATCCTCTCTGGGCTGGCTTTCACCTACCTGTTCTGGAAGTATGGATCACTCAGCTTTCGTCTCAACTTGCTGAATGAGGTAGCTCAACATTTGCAATTTCATATCTGTTCTTCAATCTCACTATCTGTGGCTTTCATGCTGCCTACAGCCTAAATTTTTATGTAACGCATTTGTTAAGTTGTGTTTTATGATATGATATTGTCTAATTTTTAACTTCAGGAAATGATATTTTAAGGTAACTATACGTTGACGAAATGTACATACTAGTAGTTTTAACGTTTAATTTAACAGCAGGGTTTTACTTATTAATTAAGATATGATCACATAGTTTATACTTAATGATAGTTCTATTTCTTATAGTTTTGTAAACAAGGTATATTAATTAACCTAGAATACACTTTCTTCATTGAATAAATCAGTGTGCAGTTCATATCAAATGAAATAAAAATCATCTTTTTTTTTATTCAGTCCGGAGATGGCTCTGACTGGAAGCTACCCAAAATTTGGGAATGGCTAGTAAAGTGAGTACCATATATCTATATCTATCTATGTATCTATCTATCAACATGTAACTATCTCTATATATACTCGATGAAGGTTAGACATCCAGGTAATAAGATGCGCCAAAAAGCAGTTACTCAAGCAACTGGATATTATTTTGGAATAGTGTCTATCTATCTATCTATCTATGTATCTATCTATCTATCTATATCTATCTATCTATCTATCTATATATACATTTACCTATATGTCTCTCTCTTTGTGTCTCTCTTTCTCTCTCTCTCTGCCTCTCTCTGTCTCTCTCTATATATATATATGTATATAGATATAGATAGATATATTAGTGTGTGTGTGTGTTTCTGTGTGTGTGTATCTCAATCTATTAAGCCATCTAATAATCTCTATCAATCTAGCTATCGATCACATCATCAACATTTTATTGCTCTATTGCTTTTATACCCACAAACAGAGAATGCAAGAATGCAAAACTTTAACGGACATACGGTCACTCTTTGACTGGTTGAGCTGTTGATTGTGATAAAAACAAAATTAATGTAAACTCGTTTGTTGAGCGACTTTGAAAAGATTATGGCATTCAACGTACATGTATTGTCTTACAGATATGTATTACCAGTTGAGGGTCTTGCATTACTGGTGTGGTGGATCGTGAGTACTGTACAGAATGAGAAAACACCCTGGTACGAGCTGGGAGTCCATTCTCTGATGACAGCAATCCTGGGGGTAAGACATCTACAATAGTTAATGGTGTCAGAAATGCAAGTTTTGTAATTGGGGGAAGGCATTGGACATTTAAGCGATTATCTTTTGCCTCAATGTTTTAAGATTTTACTACTTGTGTCGTATAGTCACACATCAGGAAAAACTGTATCTATTTTTTGGTGTCTTTGAATTTTATATTGCTAGAATATTGGACGTTACATTTTTCACATCCACAATGCATGTAAGAGATCATACGATTCATGTCATGCAGTTAAATGACATAAAGACTCGCAAGCTCAGAGATTGCTAATCTCCAAGCTGATCATACGCTGGCAAGGCAGTACCCATGGGACAGAGGAGTGTCCATTGGCTACCTACACGGTGGTCAAAATTGGGCCCCGATCTCCCCACCTGCAGTAGAACCCGAACCGTGTTCGATATGACGTAATTCGAATAGAACGGTGTTCGAAATGGGGTCACCCGCGGTCATTTACAGTAAACCTGGGTCTTCCGGCCCCTTTTTACATGTGTACCTCCTAACAAGAAAAAATCCACCTTTTAACAAATATATACCATTTCCTGGACAACTACATGTCTGCCTTCATTTTGTAGTGGGCTGGAACATGAAACGAAGCTACTGCCGTTATTGTGGGTGACCTTGAAGATCGCAATGCTTGTACTCATCAGCCTAAATAAACACTAGTCATATTCATGCCGTATGACATGCGTCCAAAACTCGTTTAAGATTGGAAGCATGGAGAGTCCAACATGTCTCATTGACGGCTCAAAATAACCGTAACGGGTTTGTCCAGAATCGTGTCTTAGGGATTTTTGAAAAAGGACCTTGATTTTTAATTATGAGCAATTGAGCGCGAAAAATGTCAAAAAATGCCGTTTTTTCACATTTATGTCGACAAAAACTATACTTAAAATCAGAAATTAAAAAATTCCTAAGACACGATTTTTGATCTTATTCCTAGTCGTCGAAAAATATAAAAATCGGGGATTTTAGGTAACATACGTAGCCAATCTTAAACGATGTTTGCCTAAAAACATAACTCGGACTGTCTCGGACTGGCGCTCCAAATCCCGCAAAAAATCGTATTTCGGAGCGAGATTTTTCAAAATTAGTACTCTAACTTAAACAACTAACATTAAACCTATGTAAACACGATAATTTCATTTTATTTTGACGGAATTTACCCTTCAATACTATTTGTTTATTTTCAAGTGGTTTACGGGTAGTTCAAAACAGGCCAAACTTGCGTCTTGTAACCTGATACGTTTTCGAACCCCCCTAGCAATGGGAAAGAATACCGTAGTGACAGACCGCCGTGCTAGTGAACACTCCTCTGCCTTGCCACCGTACGATCTGCTTGGGGTTAGAGATTTCTACTGCTTGTAAAGTCATGATTCAAACTTGTACAATTTATCCCAATTTCACTAAACTTACAGACAAATAAAAAGCTATTCTTCTTTAACTTCCCAAAACCCACTAATTTTGGAAAAGGTGGGACATTACGTTTTCCATGGTTTAAAAAAGAGAAGTCAAACCCCTTAGACATAGTTTTAGACATAGCTATAGATTTAGACAACTACCTTTCATCATGTAGATTTTAGTTATTTTATACTCTGTTTCATTGTTCTTTATGTTTGTAATTTGCAATAAGCCCCCGGGCATGAATTTGCAATAAACTTTTCAACTTGTCATGATATTCTATCACGTTGTTTCAGTGGTCCGTCGCAGCGTTGTTCCTAGTGGGACTGAACGTGCTGTTTGTCCGGTGCCGAGGACGGATGTCCCGCTGTTGGTCTTCACTTATCGACAAACAGGACGACATCCCTGTCTGCTGCTGCTGTCACAAAGAGGACAAAGAATACAGAGATAATTTCATCGTCATGACAGACAGGGCTGGAGTTGGACCAGTTCAAGACTACACGTACAGCACAGTCAACTAAAGGCAAACTTCTGGCTAACTGTATAGGGCTTTTTCAATCGCATTTAGCCAGCAATAACTTAAAGCTATTGTGTCGTAAGTTTAAACTGTAATTTCCTACACAAAAATTGGAAAAATTGGACGAAATTTTCGACTGTACAACTCCAGTCTTTGTCGATGAATGAACAATGTGTCGCTTTTATGGCGTCACTTTATGCTCATTCCTTGACAAAGACTCAGATGCATAGTAGAAAATTTAGGTAAGTCCAATTTCTTGAGTTGGAAATTATTGTTTAAAATTTCGGCATAATGACGTCCATCTACCAACACAAAAGAACTACTAGTATCAAGATAGCTCGGTGCTATGTGTTGAGTATAGGTGTTGAATACTGCAATGTTCAGTATTTATAGTTCTTACTGTATTTAAAGTCTTGCTGATATTTTTCATTCTATTTCATTGTTATTTTCTCCCAGCCTATGGGGAGTTCATTTTGACCCTAAACAAACAAAAACCTCTGCACATGGAGGTAAGAAAATGTATTGCTGTGAACAACTTTGCTACCTCATGAGATCTTTGTTAACAATGCCAATGCCAAATAAGCATTGGGATTAAAGTACTTAATAAATCTTTGATATGTATTGAGATGATGACATTACACAACAGTAACTTTATTTTTTTAGTTAATTAAAGGTGTTGGGGTGCAGAATGGTTTAGAAGAGTAAAACAAACTTAAAAGTAGTGTGTACCTTTTTATGGTTAACTTGAAACGGATAATTGATGCTCAGGTCAAATATGTAACTATAAAAAATATCGTTAGTAATTGTGAATGTCATGATTTCCCCTGTTTAAGGTTATACTGATCAAGTGCAGAAAGTTTAAGAAGAGTAAAACAAACTGGAAAGGTGTGTACCTTTTTATGGTTCACTTGAAACTGATAATTGATGCTCAGGTCAAATATGTAACAATATATATAAATATAGTTAGTAATTGTGAATGTCATGATTTCCCATGTTAAAGGTTATACTGATCAAGTGCAGAATGGTTTAGAGGAGTTAAACAAACTCGAAAGTTGTGTATACCTTTTCATGGTTAACTTGAAACTGATAGTTAATGCTCAGGTCGAATATGTAACTATATAAAAATATCGTTAGTAGTTGTGAATGTCATGATTCCACATGTTTAAGGTTATACTGATCAAGTGCAGAATGGTTTAGAAGAGTGAAACAAACTCGAAAGTGGTGCAAACAGTACCTTTTCATGGTTAACTTGAAACTGATAGTTAATGCTCAGGTCGAATATGTAACTATATAAAATATCGTTAGTAATTGTGAATGTCATGATTTCCCATGTTTAAGGTTATACTGATCAAGTGCAAGATGTTTTAGAAGAGTGAAACAAACTCGAAAGTTGTGTATACCTTTTCATGGTTCACTTGAAACTGATAATTGATGCTCAGGTCGAATATGTAGCTATATAAAAATATCGTTAGTAATTGTGAATATGATTTCCCGTGTTTAAGGTTATACTGATCAAGTGCAGAATGTTTAAGAAGAGTAAAACAAACTTAAAAGTGGTGTGTACCTTTTCAAAGTTAACTTGAAACTGATAATTGATGCTCAGGTCGAATATGTAACTATATAAAAATATCGTTAGTAATTGTGAATGTCATAATTTCCCATGTTAAAGGTTATACTGATCAAGTGCATAATGGTTTAGAAGAGTAAAACAAACTCAAAAGTGATATTTACCTTTTCATTATTAACTTGAAACGAAAAATTGATGCTCAGGTCGAATATGTAACTATATAAAAATATCGTTAGTAATTATGAATGTCATGATTTACCATGTTTAAGATTATACTGATCAAGTGCAGAATGGTTTAGAAGAGAGAGTTAAACAAACTCAAAAGTGGTGTGTACCTTTTCATGGTTAACTTGTAACGAGTAATTGATGCTCAGGTCGAATAGAAATATCGTTAGTAATAGTATTGGGAATGTCCTGATTTTCCATGTTTAAGACTACACGGGTCAAGTTCACAATGTTTTAGAAGAGTAAAGAAATAAAAAAAATGGCGCTACCTTCTCATAGTTAAACTGTAACGGGTAATCGATTCTCAGGTCAAACATGTAAATAAATAGATAAATAAATAAATAAATAACTTTGAATGTTATGGTTTCTCAGGTTTAGGGCATCGTAGAATAGACATGTAGAGTTCTCTTAACTAGCATTTTGTGCAATTCTGTGTGGTTTAGAAATAGTAAAATGTAACAAAAAAGAGCATCTGAGTAAAAAAAAGTCATAGTCAAGATAAGTTGCTTAACCTGAGTGCAGCGCCACTTTGTCTTGTTGTGTTTTGAATAAAAATAAATAAAAAAAGTCAAATCTCTGATGTGCATGTAATAACCAATCACTTCACAACGTGATCTCGCGAGAGTTACAGTTTACAAACACGTGACCTTATTCACACGAGACTTTATTACTGATACGTGATGTAAGCAATTGATCAAAAGTGCCAGGGAGTTTATATCGTCCACCGTCTCTATTAAACATCGTTCGTTTGCCTCATTCTTATACGTACATCGTCTTTCTCGTGTTATCTGAAACAGCTTTAGACATATTTTTGGCCGTGTCTAAACGGAATCACCCAAGGCAGTTTACATGTGGTTTACCCCGAAGCCGGTTTCAAGTGGCTCTATCTGAACGCTCCGAAATCACATTGAAAGCGCCTCGATCCCAGGCCACTTCTAGAGGTGGTTTCGAATCGGTTTCCCCGCATCGCGATTTGCGTCTGAACGCAATGTGATTTCAATGTGACTTCGCCTGGTAATGGATTACGGAGTGATATTTCATTTTTTATATGCAATACCAACTTTTACGTGGCAGCAACTTAAAGAGCAGTAATGGTCAAATAATGTGTCCGTTCTAGGGTGAGCTTCACCGCCTCTGGCAGGACCACGTTGGCATTCGGCCGAGATACGCTGGGAGGGGGCATCAGCAAGCAGGTCGTTGACCTCTGACATAAATAACACGCCGCCTTGCGTGTTATCATCAAACAGCAATAAATGTAGCTCAAGCGCATTATGTTCGGACACGGTTTCGATGGTGTGTGTGGCACGTGGACCAGATGTGAGGAATGTGAGTTACCCGAATCGCGGTTTGGGTGCTTCCGTATAGACACGGCCATAGACACGGCCTTTGACAGCATGCTAGCAATGTTGTTTGTTTGCTTTGTTATGCTAATGCGCTCGTTGTGGTCAGAGGAGTAGAAAAACAATCAAATATAGGTCAGTCCAAAAAATTATATCATCGAAATTTTAAGATAACCTTTCCTAGGCCATATAGTGAAATATGTTCTAGTGTTACGAGGGTTATTCTGTTCCACTTCCAGTTGAGATTTTTGTGGTATATATACTGTACATGTTAACACAGCTAATACTCTACACACATTATGAAACAATTAGTACAGAACTGGTTTTCCACGTGATAGGGGTTAGACAAGTGTGCTAACCCAAGAGGGCAGTCGCTAGACCCTTACCAACTGGTAATCTTATTATCTGCCATACTTATACATTGTACCTGCTACAAGTGCTGTGCAATAAACTTTGACTTTGTATTAGGTTAAATGGAAGTTCCAAGCTCTTCTAAGACAAAATGACCAGTCCTTCTAGACAACTCCATTACGTATACCCTTAGGCCACACCGACTTAATATTATGGATGACATCCCCGCGCGCATTGATTTTCGCCTGTTCTCTAAAAAAAGATCACGTCCTCCGAGGCTCTATGATCTAGACCTGGGTAGTCCATGGTAGTTAACGACAATGCGGAGCCGGTTATAACTCTAGAGGACGAGCTACCGAACCTCCACGACTGAAGAACTCAGTACATACGTACAGTGCCGATTCATAAATTCCGCAAAAGCCAGCATGTGCCGACTTGTCGTATACTTCGCCATGTACTGCCGCGAATTTACAATACCAGTTTTGTATTACTGTGGTTTAGTAGCATTTTTATTTTTGGCTGGAATGTATTATTCGCCGGCGCACACTAGCTTGGGGGTCTTCAGAGGATGTCATCCATAAAATTAAGTCGGTGTGGCCCAATCACGTCTAACCGGAACTATTTACTTCCGCGTAGTCTGAACCTACCCAGTCAGTTCAAGAGAGTTAATCATGGCGGACGGAGGAAAATCTGAGAGAACTAGATTAGTCCAAAAGGTAGGTCTTGACTACTTTTATCTTACTTATCATACGTTACATCAAGTCGTGAGATTAGATTTTGATGTCTTCCACTTGAAGGCATTAGAATGTGTGTCACTTCTAAGCCGTACTCCTAGGTATAACGCTCATACCAACTTAGTCCACAGAGAGGATATGCCCCCCTCCCCCATCCCTAAATTGTATCACCCACCTGTTTACAATTGAACCGAAAAACTGCAAAATATTATATGTGAATACGATTAAAATTTTGAAGCATTTCTATTATTTCTATGACGCAATGATTGTACTTGAAGTTTGTTTATACCTTTCTTTGTTGGCATACTACATACATTTGTAGGTATAGTTTGTTATATATGTACAGGGAGTATTGAAAAATGCCAACATGTAAACCCTGGGTGAATAAATAATAATATAAAATGAAATTACATGGCAAAATATAAAATCCAGATGTTATCATCTGTGCAAATTGTCAGAGTTTGAGTAAAAAAAATCATGCAATATTAACAACTGAAAAATACATGAACGCAATTTTGTAATATTTTTTTCTGTTTCTCTGTATTTCGACAGCTAAAACATTCTGTTCTATGTAATAGCGCCATCATAATTGCCCATATTTTTTACCTTTAAACTCTCTAGTGACCATTAATGTTTCAATACGTAATCTATGTACAAAATGCACAGTTTGTTTACTTCGTTTTTGTCAGAAGCAATACCCCCCCCCCCTCCAGTTAGGGATAACAGACTATTCCCTGTAGATTTGGCACTCAATTCAGAGGTGCCTAAGGCACAATAGATCCATATTGTTCAACACATAGTTATACCACTTCCCCAGTGGTAATATCTAAATTCAAAATCTAAGGTGATCCCAAATGCGAAAAGCAACCAGACTTACTTGATATTTATTGCCTTTGGTAAATACCACTTTTACTTGGACTGGAACTTGGACTGATAACGGACTGATGATTTACTGTTTATTTTTGCATTATATTATATTTTGATTTGTATTTTGGTTTGATTTTGTATCATATTTTGGTTTGATTTGTAATCCGTGACCCGCCCTCACCCTCGACCTTGTTCAAAAGCGGTCATATGTATGTACCGAACAAGCTTACGAGTTTAAATAAAGGCTTACTACTACTACTACTACTACTACTACTACTACTACTACTACTATTACTACTATTACTACTACTACTACTACTACTACTACTACTACTACTACTACTACTACTACTACTACTACTGTAGTGCAGTGGAAAAGACGTCAGAATTATGTCTACAACATATGTCTTGCTCACACTATAGGACAGTAATGATTCTGGACTGGAAGCTGTTGGAAGTACGGTACAGCCACAGCAGGACACGGACAGGGCTGGGAGGTTCTCCTCCAAGCTGGGACTGATCTCCTCCTGTATTGGGGCTACTGTAGGGTTCGGCAACCTCTGGAGATTCCCGAGGATGCTAGCCAACAACAGTGGAGGAGAAGGTAAGCCCAATGTTTGTTGTTGTTGTTGTTGTTGTTGTTGTTTTGTTTTGTTTTGTTTTGTTTTGTTTTGTTTTGTTTTTGTTTTTGTTTTGTTTTGTTTTGTTTGTTTGTTTGTTTTGTTTTTTGTTTGTTTGTTTTGTTTTGTTTTGTTTTGTTTTGTTTTGTTTTGTTTTGTTTTGTTTTGGTTTGGTTTGGTTTGGTTTGGTTTGGTTTGTTTTTGTTTTTGTTTTTGTTTTGTTTTTGTTTTGTTTTGTTTTTTACTTCATCGGTCATCACAAAACAAGGCTCATGGGAGCCACTTAAACTGTTTAAGGTTACAGAACAGCCAGAGTGGACAGATGTTTGTTGACCTTAGACTTGAAGAGTTTAAGGTTATACTCATAGGGGAAGCAATCACGAGGTAGCTTATTCCAAAGTGATGTTGTTCTTGGAAAGAAGCTTTCAGCATGGAACTTCCTCCTAAGAGGTGGTGAATGGAGGAAGAAAGGGTGATTTGCTTCGGTGGAAGTGGCAAGACGTGTCCTTGTAATTTCAGGGCAGCAAAACAGAATTTTGTCAGTTTCCTGGTCATTCTGGTCATTCTGTGTATTAAGTCTACTCATCACTATCCTAAATTTGATGTCACTGATGGAAAACGGCTGCTTCTTTTGTAATATTGTTGACTGGTTCTAGCTATTTGAGGGCAGTACTTAAAAAGAGAGCCCACCTTGCTTGTTTCGGAGCTATTTCCAACATTTCGAGCATGAAATGATGACGAAACAGGTTGTCATAATAAAAGCTGTCAATATGGATCATCAATATAAAAGAACCTTATCCACATTTTCACCATTTTCAGGACCACGTTTTCAGGCTCACCACAGTTAGGTAATTAGCTTCTCTTTATTGACCAATCACATCAAACATAACATATTCCAGGATGTCTGCAGTTCCTGTTGGTCTGGTTGATGTTCCTGTTCCTGTGGTCCATGCAAATTATCATTATGGAGTACGCCATTGGTCGATTCACCAGGAGGGCTCCACCAATGGCCTTCCACGACCTTCTGGGAGTAAAGTCAACATGGCTTGGAGGGTGGATAAGCTTAGCCTACTTTGGTATATGGTAAGACAACGTGTTTTTATTTTTATTTCAGATGATATATTAGAATATTCAGATTGGTAAAATATTGAGTATGTGTTTGGGCAGGGTTATATTTGATTCTCAATGTAATCTTATTAATCATTATGCAATTATCATATACATAAACATAAATTAGGTAACGCAACCATAGATAATACTACAATATTCTTTCCTTTTTTTCAAAATTATTCAATGATATGCACCTGTCTGTGAATAGTTTCATCAGGTTGGTAGACTCTTTAACCAAGTCTTTTATTCAGCCAACGTTTCGGTGACCGTCTGTCACCTTCCTCAGGGCAATTCTGACTGGTTCACATTGCATTGCAGCACAGGTATACGCTGCTATATATGCATTCCCAAACGTACAATACTTACATATCTAATTATATGCTGTTTTTGTCCAGTTGCTATTTCGGGGTGATTGTCGGATGGTCTATATACTACATGTACTACTGCATCTTTTACCCATTGCCAACCACCTTTGAGGAGAGCAGCCAGATCTGGAAAACATTTGCTGAGGTTGGTCAATTTCTATATCCTTATGAGATTCTGCATTTTAGCAGGGCTCCATGCAATAACGTAAACATATCATAACAACACAGGTTGTCAATAATTTTGAATGTAGACACCAGACATTATGATAATAAATATATCGTCTAGCTATTGAGAGTGAGCCATTCTTGTATAGTCTCATACCATTTACGACATATTCTCAACCTCACCATTTCCTATTGCTAGCAACATATGTACAGTGACCATCAGATAGTATTGGGAAAGATAGACTACAAGCATTTGAATCTGCATGTGCAAAACTTATATTTGACAGGTCTTGCCTTTTGCCAAGAGTCGACAATAACACATGGCATTCATTTAACCATTGAAAAGAACGCCAACAATTTGCAGATCCCAGGCCACCATGAAATATGTATATCTTGTACAATCCCCTTTTGCAATTCTTTATTGCACAAGGGAAACAGCACCAGCTATCAAGAAGGTCATGTAACTAAAACCAGAAGATACCGCGGTTATGCAGGATATACAGATACTAAATTTCGTTTTATATCATACCCGGGCCGCGATAACATTCGATAACGGGTTCCAGACCGGGCCGTACTTTACGGTACGGCCCGGTCCGGAACCCGTTATCGAATGCTTCCATGGCTTCCATAAAACGATTCGAACGCGTTTCGCCCTACCCGCTTGTGCCCCTTTCGAAAATTCGAATACAGAATCCGGACGTTGGAATTGATGTTGTTGCATTTTAGGGTTTAGTGGCACCAACTTTTGGCTCATCTTGCATTGAAAGGCGTGTTTTCTAGGGTGGGTATGATATAAATAAAATACAACACGGTGTATTCCACATCGCCCTCGGTCTCGGCCCTCCCGCGAGTCGACTCGCGGTCGGGCCGATACCTCGGGCGATACGGAATACCCCGTGTTGTATTCTATATGTATTCCCCACTACAGGAAAGCAGCTGGCCAGTATTTCTACACTTCATAGGTACTTTGGCATGTACCCTTGTGATCTGGAAAGGAGTAGACACCATCGAACCTGCTATGAAGATCATGATTCCTGGACTCTTGATTCTGATCATCACATCGTTTATCTGGTCTCTAACCCAGCAAAGTGCTGGATCTGCCCTTGCCTACATTTTTACACCAGACTGGAGTAAGCATCATCATCTTTCTTTTAAATAAAATAAACAGTGTAACTGTGGTTTGTGTTTCTAGAATTTCAAAGTGATGTTTCTTTATGTACCATGTACTCTTTATGCTTATGTATTTCTTGTAGATGTAAACTTCTTAAATTAAACTTTGTGCTTAATTATTACTTCTACATAATTGGCAGTTGGAAATTGTATGTTTAGTTGACGTTGTTCTTGTTGTAGGCATTGCTCCGTCTCGTATTTAATTTAATATCAAGAGCTTTATGATAATACTCTATTAATTTGAGAACTTATTTCATTTTGTACAGAACTGTTTGGTACCCCCAGAGTATGGATTGATGCCCTGTCTCAAAACGCTTGGGATACAGGAGCAGCAACTGGCATTTACCTGGTGTACGGCGCGAGCATGGCCACAAACATGGGACCTGTGAAGACAGGCAGCCTTATACCAATTATAAACAACATTGTAAGGTAAGATGGCTTGACTTTGAAGAAATGATTGCTGTTTAATTTAATTTAATTTTATTTAATTTTATTTAATTTTATTTAATTTTATTTAATTTTATTTTATTTTATTTTATTTTATTTTATTTTATTTTATTTTATTTTATTTTATTTTATTTTATTTTATTTTATTTTATTTTATTTTATTTTATTTTATTTTATTTTATTTTATTTTATTTTATTTTATTTTATTTTATTTTATTTTATTTATTATTCACTTCTGTGAATGGAGAGGAAATATCTTGGAAGAAACATTGGACTATGTGGTAACGGTAGATCTATATAGAGTGTCCCACTCTGAATCAAGGGTTCCTGGGTTCGAACCCTGCCATGACTTTCCTTACTTCACTCAGGTTGAAATAAGTATTGTATTGTCTTCTGTGTTGGTAGCAATATGTTGAAAAACTTAATTATGTCGCCACCACGTCTTGTGATTTACTTACCTTAGACCTTAGTTCCTCCTGCAACTAGTTGCATCGGTCGACTTGCAGACCTAGCAGTACTCCTCCATAGGTTTCTGTTTTGTGCCGCAGCAGCCATGAATTCCGTGTTGCCAAATTCCAGTTTCTTTCCATCATTCTGAATTATTTTGCGTAGGGTAGTTCTAGGTCTCCCTCTTGGTCTTTTCTTGTGATTACATGTTTGGAATATAAAGATAAACATGGAACAAGTGAAAATGTGTGAAAATATTTCAAGTTGTGTTTCTTTTTTTCTTCCCTTATTTACCCACAGTTTAATGGCTGGTACGATGATCTTCTGTACTGTATTTTCCACCTGGACCAACGTCAGTCCAGGAGGCGACAAAGATGACCTGATGACACTCCTAAAGACTAACGGCCCTGCCAACACTGGACTCACCTTCATCTGGTAAGTAAACACAACTAGCGTTTCCTTTAAAATTAAATTCAATATAGTAAAAATAAAGAGTTAAACTTTATTCCAACACACAATTACACCGAGATCAAATTTTCAGCGACCACTGTCGCCTTCATCAGGATAATTAATGACCAATCACTTCACAACGTGATCTCGTGAGAGTTACGGCCTACAAACACGTGACTCTCGCGAGATCACGTTGTGAAAATTTGATCTCTGTGTAATAATTTATTGTGTGTTGGAATAAAAGTTTAACGCTTTACTATGATTACTACCAACACAGATGAACTTTCATGATGATCTAAATTCAATATAGTTTTGTTTAGATACACATAATGTCTATTTTCTCTACCAGATTCAATTTGACAAAAATAGGGTTGTGTACAAAACATTTATTTAAAAAAAGAGTTATCGGTTAAAGTCATTAAGTTTTTATCAGCAACAAAATAAGTTACGTTTACATATTGGAAGTTAATACTTTCGATCAAACACAGTGACTCTAGTCTTCTTCAATAGACTGACCCAGTGTTGACGTCACACTTCAGAGAAGTCACGTGACTAGTCCTACTGGGTCAGTCTACTAAAGGAAGGAAAGACTGACTGGTCGAAAGCTAAAGGTGAGAAATCTCTCTGTTGGATCCAAAGTTTCAACATGTAAGTACCAACTCTCCAAGTTATTGCTGGCTAAATGTAGTTGAAAATGAACTTTCATGATAATAGTTATGTTTACTTTCCATAGGATGCCGATCCTGTTCTCTACCATGACGGGTGGCCGTGTGATGGCGTCATTGTTCTTCCTGATGTTAGTGATCGCAGGAATCAGTTCGTACATCCCTTCAATATACAGCGTTTCCCAAGTGCTCGTCGACTGGGGAGGTATGTACATTTTAATTCTTATTAGCTTTCAGGCATTTTACCTCTTGTTTTCGGTGATTCATTGTTTAATGTTGCAATTTCATAGTAGTAGGGATTTATACTTCTATAGACCTATGTAACGTTTTAATCTATTCTAGTACCTACGCAAAATATTATCAACGAATGTAGATTTATGCAGTGTTTTAAACCTATTGTGACACTAACCCACCATTTTATCCTAATATTTTACTTACTTATGCTGTTATGATGTAGTAGTTAGAAATATTGTAAACAGTCCATTTACTTCAGCAATGGCTGCAAAGTGGAGTCTGTGTTTATGAAGAAAATAAACCATTATTATCATTTATTATTGTTTGCTTGACCATGTGTCGGTAGTTATCATGTTTACCGAAGGATAATTGTTTTTGCTCTGTTTCTTCTTCTTCTTCCGTTCTAAACACTGACCTTGACAATGAGCAGACAGTCTGTCACGATGGTAACTGGTGTTGGGTTACATAATGTTGCAATTTCATAGTAGGAGGGCTTTAGACTCATCATATCACCATATATATGAGTAAGAATTAACATAGCAGAAGGTGAACATTAAGCATTTGCTTTACAAATATTACCTTTCTAGTTTGAATAAAGTCACAGTAGGTGTGAGGGAATTGTGCTTACCATACACGAACAGAAATGACAAATTGGAGGTCAAAATAGTCTCCTCGCAGACTAAGAGAAAGTTTAACTTGAATGTGAGGGTGATCTGCATCAATTTATGCAAATTCATTCATGTATGCTAATGTGGACTTAATCATCTAGAAAATCAAATTGATAAACCAATTTTAAAGTTTGTTTTTCACTTTTCTGTTCTGAAAAAATAATATCTCAAATAAAATAAGTGAAACTATATTTTCGTAGCAGCACTAGATGGAAATTACGTTTTCTTGGTTCCAGTGAAACGAGAGGTTGCCGCAGTAGTAATGGGTACATTAGTCTTCCTTCTGGGCGTCCCAAGTGCCGTCGACATTCGCTTCCTGGTGCTCCAGGTATCTACCAATCAGTTGTATTTGATTTACTCATCATAATGAGAAATCGTTTGGTGTAAAACATAACTTTCAGTTTATTACTTTCATCATCATTTAATTGCTTCATTATTAAAATAAAGAATAAAGTTTACTGCCAACACTTGAATGAATTGGGGCTTACTCCAAATCGTTGGCTGACTGCTTCAAACTTGTTCACGGAATAGACCTATCTACTCTTGGAACGTGGATTCAGAGACACGTAACCGTAGTAGAGTGTCATACGTGCCAGATAACTTGTGTCGTCCCCCGTCTCTGTTCACGTCTGCCTGTGAACAGAGAACAATGAAGTCTCATTTCATTCCAGTGTTGACAGTAAAGCTTAGTACTTATTTTATGATACTAGTAACTTGTACCAACACAGATGAATGTAATTTAAAAATTACTTCATTTGATTGAAATGTCTTGATCTTAAGTACATCGTTTGCCCTGGGGCAGGTATGATAATCTGTGCCCCCCACCAAGAACGGCAATCATAAAAAAATATTGATGCTATTATTATTCTTATCTAGGACTTTGTATGGGGCTCTGCTCTTATCATCTCTGGACTGGTTTTCGTCTACCTGTTTTGGAAATATGGATCACAAAACTTCCGGCTCAACCTGCTGAATCAGGTAGGTTTCCTATTTTCTCTTATCGTTGAAGAGATTCATTTGTCACGTATAGTTACAGTTACTAGAAGATTCTTTCATCAGTGACAAGTTGGAAGGATAAGGATACTGACCTCGAAATTTTCGATGGCTATCAGTCCATCTTGTTCACGGAGTGGCCTAAGGGAGTGGGGCCCGGCAGACCGATGCAAGTCTCGGGCCTAGTCTCGCGAGATTAGGCCACTCCGTGAACAAGATGGACTGATAGCCATCGAAAATTTGGAGGTCAGTATCCTTATCCTTCCAACTTGTCACTGATGAAAGAATCTTCTAGTAACTTATTTTCTCTATTTTTTTTTAAAAAAACTGCACCACTTGCCTACGCTATGTCTAAGTCTATGGTATTCTGGAAATTGGCATCAATTATTGTACCGTAACGGTTGTATTGTATATTGGCAAGGTTGATAAAATAGATTCTTTACGTGTATATAATATCATAGATTAATGAGATACATGTAGTTACTTTTGATCCAATAGCTTTTCGTCGGTGTTTACTGATATTAATTTACATACATCGTTTTTCTTCATTCAGCCCTGCCGAAAATCATAGTAACTATTTATATTTTTATGAAGAAGAAGTGTACTTGTTAGCCGAAAGCGAACTCCGTTCATTTACTATCGTTTTCAGAGTGTGATTCACATTTGATGTTATCAAAATAAATAAAATATGTTTTTTGAACTCAGGCAGGAGATGGCACTGATTGGAAGCTACCCAAAGCATGGGAATGGCTTTTAAAGTGAGTAATATCAAATAACAGTAGTATATTAAACACTAATTCTAGTCCTTAAGATGACAAATTATCATTTCATATTCATCGTGTAATCTTCTGTTAACTACAGGCAAAGGCTTGTGTACAATTTCTTTATCAAAATTTCATCGTTTTGTTTATTTTATCTTGTTTATGTTCCTTCACCAAGGTATCATCGTTTAATGACTATTCTAGTCCTTAGATGATCATGTCATATTTGTCGTGTAATCCTCCGTTAAGTAAAGACAAATGCTTGTGTACAATTCCATCATCAACATTTCATCGTTTGATTTGTTTATTTTTGTCTTGTTTATGTTGTATTCTTATCAAAGTATAATTTTCTATTTGTTTATCTTTTTTCTTGTTTACATGGCCACCCCAACTCTAGGAAAACATGCAGAAAAGCAGATCGTTGACGAATATGTATAGCCTGGAGTCTAGCCTTGTTAGCTTTGGTCCGCTCCCCAAGATCCGGGTATCGGATGTTGGGGAGCGGACCAAATAATAACAAAGCACACAGTACAAGAATTCGGAGATCTCAAACCTCCATGAAATATATGAGTTTTTCTAAATGTTTTACACGGTACACTACACTACAGTACAGAACAAAATAACACAGGTTTTTGTCCTAAAATAGGTCAGGCTGTCAACTCAGTACATGTAGTCTATTCCAGAGGGAAAACATCACCAATCAAACCTGATAGGCACGCTGCCTGACCACACGTGTTTTGCGTTAGAGGAAGTCTTTAACCGGCACATCTGTTTTCTCTCAAAATGCAAAAGTTCAGCCAAGGTCAGCCACCAGGAGGCCCATAATTGACTTTGACCTTTGGCTTCCTAAGACCTACCAGCATACCAAATATCATCACAATCCATGAAGGAGTTCTGAAGTTATACTGACTACAAATGTGCGGAAACACAAACACACAGACACACAGACACGCCAAAAACAATACCTCCATTTTTTATGGAGGTAACAAGGCTGGACTCCAGGCTAGGACACGTAGTCATCCTCTTATTGGTTGAACCGCTTTAGCCCTAACTGTGATGCACCACTAGGACAGGTCTATCACATTTTGTTGTAAAACAAGCCTAAAAGTCTATACAATATTCAACATATTGTCTTACAGATGTGTATTGCCAGTTGAGGGTCTTGCATTACTGGTGTGGTGGATCGTGAGTACTGTACAGAATGAGAAAACACCCTGGTACGAGCTGGGATCAGGGTCTCTAATGACAGCAATCCTGGGGGTAAGATATGTATAATACTATAAATGATCCTAAAGCATATTCCAGTGGGCGATGGTGTCATATTAGTAATAGGCAGTAGATCACATGTTCGAGCATTCGTGCCCGAGTCAGATCCCTCATTTGTTAGTGTCTAAAGACATTTTCAATGTTATAATTATGTTTACCGAAGGAAAACATATTGTTTTTGCTCAGTTTCTTCCTCTTCTTCTTCTTCTGTAAACAGTGACCTCTGACCTGACCAATGATATGATTTGTTGACGTCTGTCACCATGGTGACTGGTGTTGGGTTCCATAATGTTACAATTTCATGGTCTGCTCTGCACCTGTCACCATATACTAGTAGTACATGTATGTGAATGTGTTTGAGTAAGAATTAACAGAGCAGACCATGTCCGAAGGTGAACATTATGCATTTTCTTTGCAAATGTTACTTTTCTAGTTCATTTTTACAGTAACTCAGATGTCAATTCTAATTTTGACAAACACATTACAATTCACGAAAATAAATATAATATCTGACTAGTTTTCATTGAATGTACTGTAACTGTATATGTAATTTAGGCTATAGGGTCTTTGATGCTTCCACAACTAGTATACGTACACTTTAAGTCTTAACCATGTCATCCAGATTCGCAGTGTTTCCACAGTGATTTGGAAATAGGCTACTACTTCTTGTAACTGACATGATATCCTATCACATTTTCAGTGGTTCGTCGTAGCTTTGTTTGTAGTGGGACTGAACGTGCTGTTTGTCCGGTGCCGAGGACGGGTGTCCCGCTGTTGGTCTTCACTCATCGACAAACAGGACGACATCCCTACCTGCTGCCGCTGCTGTCACAGAGAGGACAGAGGAGGTCGCCAAAATCTCATCGTCATGACAGACAGGGCAGGAGTTCCAGACTATACCTACAGCACAGTAGACTGAAGGCAAACTTCTGGATGACTGTCATGAAAGTTCATCGGTGTTGGTAGTTACATGTTTAAAGTTAAAACTTTTGTTCCAACACAAAAAATTCTCTCACCTAGAGCTTTCGATCAGTCACTCTGGTCTTCCTCAGTAGACTGACCCAGTGAAGCTTGTCACGTGGCTTCTTTGAAGTGTGACGTCAACACTGGGTCAAAGGTATCTGGTAGACGATGTCGACCCCCGTCGCAGTTCAATGTCATCGTCATCGTCTACCAGTCTGAGATACCTTTTACCCAGTGTTGACGTCACACTTCAAAGAAGCCACGTGACAAGCTTCACTGGGTCAGTCTACTGAGGAAGGCCAGAGTGACTGGTCGAAAGCTCTAGGTAAGAGAATTTTTTGTGTTGGACCAAAAGTTTTAACTTTAAACTTCTTGATAACTGTATAGGGCGTATTTAACAGAATTTAGCCAGAAAAAAACTTGAATTCATACTATGTATGAATTGTAATGTTATAGGTAGGTGGTTAGGTATTGGAAGCTGTCAAGTCCAATGATGGTAGTAGGCCCTCTGGTGACTTTTCTTGGTATTACATGAACACTTCCTGTTTTTGTACATTTTGTTCTGGATATGACTTTTTGGTGGTTGTTGCAGGTCTGCACTTGCGGCTAATTTTGGAACTGCAGTGGAATTTTTGTTGAATAATTTGTGCAGGAGTACTTCTCAGGATTAATTCAATATGGATACTTGTAAATGATTTGAAATTGATATAAAATAAGTAATTATAACGGTTATGACTTCTCTTATGTTAACCTTTTTCGAGCAAATTTCTTCAAATTTCTTCAAAAATTGCTCGTTCTAAATTACCCTTAGTTATCGTTTAATCATACACTGCAGTGGAATTGGGCTCATGCACAACGCTTATTTCAATTCGCTGCAAATATACATTTGTGACTTTGCCATGCATAAAAGCAATGGCTTCACATCTTGATACCTTTGATGTCAAATAAAGGGAATTAAAACATTATTGGGTTGAAAAGTCACAGCGCACCGATCGATGATCGATATTGACTTGAGCTGGACACCAAATTGCAGATAATTGTAGCTGAAAAATATTATATAATGCTATGTTTAGCATGTAAGTGCACTTAGTTTGCAATTTTTCGTTACTTCCTTTGCTGATACCGGTTTCAGAAATGTTTGTTAGATTCCACAGAATTAACTCTAGTATTTTATTTGAAATCAGTGAAGGTCGTATGTTGTATGCTATACTATGGTGAATGTAAATTTGTTTAGAATATCTGTAACTGTTAACTATATGTAACTTTTTAAGAGTAAATAAATACATTATCTCAAACTTCCATGTCATATTTACTTATCTATCTATTTCATCTTAAGACATCTGGTTACCTCCTACAGATACATGAGCTAATTTCCAAGGAGCCCCAGAAAACAAACCATAAATAAAATAAAATCATATGGAAAATCACACATAGGTAACATAACGTAGATGAAAACATAATAAGGAAAATAATACAACATAATGTAACTAACAAAAAAGTAGCAAAAACAAGCTGTCAAATCAAGTCATAATTTGCTACGGAACCTTCGACAACACTTTAAAACTTTGCCATATGTCTTAGTTAGCTGTGGGATGCTGTCGTGTCTGCGATCGCAGAGTTGAGCCAGCCTGTCAAATGACTTTTCTTTACCTCAGGGCCCTACAAGACCAGTTAAGATAAGACTTTCAGCGCCGCTGTGCAATATTAGCAGGGTTGTACTTGAACCTAGGTAAATTTGTATCTAACCTTGGCCTTCAGAGAGTCACTCAAGTTGCGAGGAATTACTCTTATGGAAGAACCGGAGGAATGGAACAAAGCCAAGACTGCTAAAGGGCCGTCATGCATCATAGCAGGCTGTCAGTGTTAGACTTTTAGTGAACTTCACGAGTCACTTTCTGGTAAATTCATAGGACAGTATAGGGGTTTTTATAGACCTGATTATTTAGCATATTTATTTAGTTAGTATTTGAAAAAGATGGTAAAAGACGAGTTAAGAGAAAGAGTGGTGCATGAGTATCTCTTATTGGTGAAATAAATTATTTTTAACACACGTAAAGGTGCTTAGTAAGTGTATGGAATAAAATAACTATCTGAACTAAAAATGAGATAAATAGCTAGTTCTGGTTTTATCCCTGTCTTTTTACTATAAGGTGAATTCACGGTCTCTTCTGGTAAAATAATGGGATATTAGGGTTATTATTCAATTTTTACTATAAGGAAGATCAATTAATATTTTTCTGGTAAATGTGATAGTAGGGGCGTTATCACATGATTTTCCCTAATTTTACGCAACAAATATGGACAGTAAATATTCCATGCCCTATCCTTTGAGTCAAGGTAGTATTATCTTTATTATCATTGTATTATTTATAGTATGTACTGGTAATATTGGTAAACAGTTGACATCCTGACTGGTTTTATGGAGTTTACTTTTATTTAGTTGTTCTATTTGAAGGGTGTTGATCTTATTTAGTTCTCATGTGAAATTCTTAACCTAAGTAATTCAGCGTCGTTTAGGACTGCCATATACTTGTATCATTATTCAATCAATCAATCAATCAATCAATCAATCAACCAATCAATGTTATGTTTAAAGTTAAGAATACAAATCGCCAGTAGAATACAGACAAGTAGTGATAAGTACAGGAAGACGCAGACAGGCGAAGTCGTGGCAATTTTCCAAGCTCGAAGGACTCACTAACTGGTGAACCAAAATTCGAAGAGTTATTAGGGCCATGAAGGGCACGCAAATGTCAAACACAGTACGTGTTGAATTCATCAAGGTTAGAGGTTAGTATAGAGAGACACGAAGTTGAGAGAGTAAAGCTAATCCTTTGCCAAGAGACCCTTGGCTTGCAAGTAGAGGCTTTGGGTTATTCATACGACGAATTCGATGCCTGATAGCCGCCTAGACCACCATATTTTCAATTACTTGCACATATCTTCCCATTTCTACTGACCATCAGTCCCTGTGGACATCTGGCATAAACTCAGACGATACTATGGCACCGTTCACACGAATACGCTGTAAGCGATTTCGATCCAGATTCCACCAAAGCCGGATTCAAGTGGCCCCATCCAAACGCTCCAAATGTCATTGAAAGGGCCTCTGACATTGATAACATGCCACCTTGTGTGTTTTCATCAAACAACAATGAATGAAGTTTAGGTAAATCGTGCTCGGGCACGGTTTGAAAGGGACATGTGGCACGTGGACCAGGTGTGAGTAATGCAATTTTCCGGAATCACGGTTCAGGCGTTTCCGTGTGAACAGGGCCTATGTCTATTCCAATCGTATGATGTAAACCTAATATGAATTAAACCTTCTGTAGTGAAAAGATCTTGCAGTCGATCAGGTCAAATGTGTCAAACTTTGATTCAGTTTCTGTGAAGATTGTGTTGACTTGAAAGAGGCCTAGTGGAAGGTCATATTCGGAAAGCTTATCCCGAAAACGTTCCCAACAAACAATTTTAACGAAATCGCCGGCTCTCAATGCACAATACGGGGTCAAGGCGAGGAGCAAAGGGGCCATGGTCACACAACCTCAAGGTTATCGTGAAAACGCTCTGATCAGACCATCATGACATGATTTTCCACACATCTTATATCGTGGTGTTGCACTCTGTGTTGGCCTTCACTGGTTTAATGGTGCACTCTTCGATTGACACTTTTCGTATCACGCATAGATGACACTGCCCGTGTGTATGTTTGACCCTCTTACGTAAAGTGCAGGTGCTATAATGATGCTCTTAGGCCGTGTTTAAGTGAAGTCACCCAAGGCGCTTTACATGTGGTTCAAGTACCCCGAAGCCGGTTTCAAGTGGCTCTCCGAAATCACATTGAAAGCGCCTCGATCCCAAGCCACTTCTAGAGGTGGTTTCGAATCGGTTTTCCCGCATCGCGATTTGAACGCAATGTGATTTCAATGTAACTTCGCCTGGTCATGGATTACGGGGTGATATTTCTTTATTTATATGCAATACCAACTTTTACGTGGCAGCAACTTAAAGAGCAATTGCAATGGTCAAATAATGGGTCCGTTCTAGGGCGAGCTTCACCGCCTCTGGCGGGACCACGTCGGCATTCGGCCGAGATACGCTGGGAGGGGGGCATCAACAAGCAGGTCGTTGACCTCTGACATTAATAACACGCCACCTTGCGTGTTATCATCAAACGGCAATAAATGTAGCTCAAGCGAATTGTGATCGGACACGGTTTCACCAGATGTGAGGAATGTGAGTTACCCGAATCGCGGTTTGGGTGACTTCACTTAAACACGGCCTTAGGCATCCCATCAATCAACCTCGCGCCTTTACCGTTCCTTAGGCCAGAGCAAGTAAATTTTATGGATGACATCCTCCACAGACTGCAAATCTAATGCGATAGGGCGAAAAAACAAGATTCCTACTTTTTTTCAAATTTTTACATCATAAACTTTATTTAACAAGAAATGATACTTTGTGGTACGTTTACTGCCAACTATTACAGCATCCATTTTTCACTGAAACAACTTAAAAATACAAGTTTTCAATCATTGTATAAATGGTTTTGATTCAGAATAGACAAAAGAATAAATCAGAGCCTTGTCTTGTCTCCTCTCTTTATATCTATCTGCCATCCATGTTCGGCACGGCAACAGACATCTTTGCCCATTTTCGGCATGTTGACCACTGACAGAGGGCAACAAAGTTTCTCTCGTTTTTATTTCCAAAATCAGGCGAAAATGAATGCGCGCGCTGATGTCATCCATAAAAATTACTTGCTGTGGCCGGATGAACGTCCCTTGGTTATGATAGCAGCGGGAAAACCTTAGATTAATGAAAGGGTTAGCAATGTCACTAATGGACTCTGTTGCAAAGGACGCTAACAAAATAGTTGCGATTTAATCGTTGCTCGTAGACACTCAAGCACATATAATTAACAATCTGCACAGGCTCTACCAATTGAATGAGCCTGGCGAGTTGCATTCAAGTACGTCGGTGAAGATTAGACATCCAGGTGATAAGATACGCCAAAAAGCAGTTACTCAAACAACTCCAAAATCATGTCCAGTTGCTTCAATGTTTTTGGCGCAGCTCGAAGTAGTTAATCATAAATCAAATTGTAATTGGTCTATAAATGAAATAGAAATTACAAGACTTAGTATTAAAAATCTGAGTAAGACCAGAATCCAGGGTCCATATCTTTTTTGCGCTCTCGAAAGTACGATTGAAGGCTTATACTGTTCTTAAGTGCCTCTTGAATTACATTACAGCAATTTTTTTTGAGACTGTGTGACAACTATATTCCCTATAGTTAGAAAACCAGCTGCAAGACGCATCTTATAAATTAACATCTGGCCACGTGATCACTAGGACAGCTGCACTTTTCTAGTGAGATCCCAGTTCGCTGCCTTCTTGTCACTTTGCAAAATGTAGACATGTGTATCACGCGTGTTTCTCGCTAAGCATACAGTTGGCTACGCCGAGCATCCGAGCGGCCTACAATGTCGCTGAACGAATCTCTTCATCTTGAATTTGGCAAAAATGCCACGCTAAATGAATCGTTACAGTTTAGTGGTGATTTCTTGAGTAATGGTACGTTGAAAAACGCCACCGAGGAGGGCACGCCGGACCAGGCGGCGATGAGGATCGTCGTGCCCGCCGCCTTCTCCCTCATCTGCCTGGTGGGCATAAGCGGGAACGCGCTGGTGATCTACCTGGTCTGGCGGCACAAGGAGATGCGGACGGTGACGAACTTCTACATCGTGAACCTGGCCGTGACGGACCTGGCCTTTCTCGTCTGCTGCGTGCCCTTCTCAGCAGTCAAGCTCACCATCGAGTCCTGGACTTTCGGGGAATTCCTCTGCAAGTCTGTCTTCTACTTCATGCAGGTAGGAGTTGGGTGCCAAACTAGTATCGTGCCGTTAGCCGTTTTCCTTCGGCAGCCAAGAGCCCTTCGCCCGCCTATCTAAATTAGCGCCACGGAGAAGTAGTTGAGCCTAGGAGAAAATTAGGGCCGGACAAATTCTCCTGGGCTCAACTTCTCCACGGCGCTAATTTAGATAGAGATTTTTTATTTATTTATTTATTTTATTGAAATTGCAACAATGCAAAACATGCGGAACAGAGGCAGCTGTTGCTGGTGTTGTGTCCCGCACATAGAAACGAATACCGGAAAGACAATACTCATTTTCACTTGAGTCTAGTGCAATTAAAAATCCCAACCAATAATGTAAGGGATAGCTATCCAACTGTTGTCACTTCATACTATAGTTATATCAAGTAAAGAATTGTTTTCCATTGTATTTCTCCTTCTTTCCCTGCCATTTCGTGAAATGTGGTGAAGTCATGCTGATATTTGCTTTGGAGCAAATATCAGCCTTTCTAGTGTTAACGTTTATTTTCTTCAGATGTTTGGATGTGAGATTAGCACTCTAACTCAGGGAACTATGGAAAGACTATCATGTAATTTGGTACTTGGGTACGTCTTGGGGTATCGAAGAGATGATCAGGTTTTGGACCCCCTTGCGCCTTTTCTTGGCACTGCAGAGACATTACGGGTAACGAAACCTTCAACCTTGTTAGTGATACCTCCTATCTTCACCATTAGGACTAACTTTTCAACGATATCAGCCAAATCAGTTTCTTATCAGCAGAACTGGAAGGCAAAATGCCTTCATTGGCAAAACGACCGCATACAAATAGAAGGAAAGTGATAGTAACGAAATGTAGATTGCTGAAGCTTATTTGTGATACCTCCTGTCTTCACCATTAAGTCTAACTTTTCAACGATATCAGCAAAACCAGTTTCTTATCAGCAGAACTGATTTTATTTTATTTTATTGAAATTGCAACAATGTAATACACGCGGAACAGAGGCAGCTGTTGCTGGTATTGTGTCCCGCACATAGAAATGAATATAGGACAGACAATACTCATTTTCACTTAAGTCTAGTGGGGAAAGTCGTGTAAAGTGCCTTTCCCAAGGGCACAAGATCGGTGGCATGTCAGGACTCGAACCCGGGACCTCTTGATTCCGAGTCGCGCACGCTGCCGTTGCGCCACCACACGACCCAACATACTTGATATATACTTGTGTGATGTATTTTGTATTCTGCTTCGTGACGGGGAGCTGGCGCCGCAGACCTTGACGTCTAATCCTAGCAGTAACAGAAGTGCGTCACTGGTGTGATGTTCACACAGGATAACGACGTGTTGCCTGTTTATCACTCAAAAATCTTAGGTAATATAAATAACTGCCTCCGTTGCTGACGTACTAACCATGCTGTGACAACCGTTAGGCCACAGCAAGTAATTTTCATGGATGACATCAGCGCGCGCCATAATTTTCGCATGACTTTGGACATAAAAACAGGATATTTTGTTGCTCTCTGAAAGTGGTTAACATGCCGAAAATGGGCAAAAATGCCATGCCGGAATGTGTTTTTTTAAATGAAGATTTGTGGAATAATTGACATAACAGGTGACTATCACCTCTTCAAGATGTCAAACCTGAGACCAGACTGTATGGTTTGAACCACTCACACCGGGAAGGTCCCCTACTCTTTTCGATAAGTGCGGTGGGGTGTGGTTCTCCCAAACACGGGACCTCCATTTAACATCCTATCCGAGGGACGTCCCTAACCGAAGCTAGGTACTCATTTACACCTGACTGAAGTGAGGAAAGTCGTGTAAAGTACCTTTCCCAAGGGCACAAGATCGGTGACACCGGGCAGGATTCGAACACTCTAATGCTACGCCGCACGACCCCACAACAGATAAATAAATGTATGAAGAGAGGAGACAAGACAAAGCTATAACTTAATGTTTTGTCTTTTACTTTGATGCAATGTATTTCATTTTTTATATGCCATGTTCACTGAATCAAAACCAATTGTTCACTGATTGAAAACTTTTATTTTTCATTGACGAATGGATGTTGTAATAGTTGGCAATAAACTTAGCACAATTGCAATATAGGTTCTTGTTTGACAAGGTTTATGATGTCAACATTTGGAAATGTAGGAATCTTGTATTTTTGGACCGCCTTGTATTTTATCGCCCTATTGCATTAGACTTGAAGTCTGCGGAGGATGTCATCCATAAAATGTACTTGCTGTGGCCTTAGGTAAAATAAATATCTGTATCTGTTGTTGACGTATTAACCGTGCTGTGAAAACCGTTAGTGATCTATTACAAAACATTTTTCTGCATAAAATAAAGAGATGGACGAGGTATATGCATCTAAAACCAGTTGAATTATGGCAGACTGGCTTTAAACCTCCCTTGCAACAACCCGAGGATGCTTGACAGCCTAATCCTTGAGAAACACACTTGTCTTGGAAAAAACGGTGCCTTCTCATGATAAATTGCACACTCGAGAGCTATTCCAAGCTACTTTATAGATGAACAGTGATTGCAGCTTTAGATTTCGCTTCCTTGCTCATCCGAACTGCTGGAAGTGCTCCCTCAAAAGAGCATTTTTGACATTTCACGATGCAATCGCTGTCTTCCAATTGAGATTTCTTGTTATAGAGCATTAGGCCATGTTGATTTGATTATATGAATGACATCCTCTTGGAGCCCCAAAACTGATGCGCGCGTGCGACTAAAAAAAAGTTTTGCAAAAAAAAAAGTTCTTTTCATTATGAAATCTACGTGGTCATGAGGGTTGAGCAAATGGCACAGAATATGGTTTGGCGAATAATCTAGTCTTCAAGTTCATTTCTTTACAATTTCGTCTTTTTTCGTTTGATTTTGGCATTCTACGACATTGGTATAGTTTTTATTAATTTTTTTGTAACTTATGGTATATTTTTGCTCATTTTGCAGCTGTTTTGTACGATTTACATTTTACAGCATGGTTGAAAAGTTTTTTTTTTTTGGGAAACGGCCGAAAATTCATGCGCGCGCGGATGTCATCCATATAATCAAATCAACATGGCCTTAGCTTAACATGGTAATAACTTCAATTGCCACCTCTCGACAGTACCTGAGATGACTGAATAGATAACCGCGTCTGTTCCTCATTTGCAGAGTTCTTTATAACGTTGCTTTTAAGTTGAAAGTTTGACATTCAGTCTTCTTAAAGGCACTGAGCAAATTGAGTCAATTTTGACTACAAGCTCGACTACTATAAAACTGATTTTGCTGATACCGTTGCAAGGATATACCTAATGGGAAAGATAGGGGGTATCACAAATAAGCTTCTACATTTGATTACTATCACTTTCCGTCTATATGTATGCGGCCGTTTTACCAATTGAGGCAATTTGTCTCCTAGCTTGTGCGCAGTGTGGGGTCGTGTGGCGCAATGGCAGCGTGCGCGACTCGAAATCAAGAGGTCCCGGGTTCGAGTCCTGACATGCCACCGATCTTGTGCCCTTGGGAAAGGCACTTTACACGACTTTCCCCACTAGACTGAAGTGAAAATGAGTATTGTCTGTCCAATATTTGTTTCTATGTGTGGGACACAACACCAGCAACAGCTGCCTCTGTTCCGCGTGTATTGCATTGTTGCAATTTCAATAAAATCAAATCAGTTCTGCTGATAAGAAACTAATTTTGCTGATATTGTTGAAAAGTTAGACCTAATGGTGAAGATAGGAGGTATCACAAATAAGCTTCTACATTTCATTACTGTTACTTTCCTTCTAGATGTAGACGGCCGTTTTACCAATTGATGGAGTTTGTCTTCCAATTCTGCTGATATGAAACTGATTTTGCTGATATCGTTGAAAAGTTAGACCTAATAGTGAAGATAGGGGGTATCACTAACAAGGTTATAAAGGTTTCGTTACCCGTAATGTAATAGAATTCTGCCGACCAAAGTATCTGGAACGCGAGTAACTCGCTCAACTACAAGTGGGCACCCACACCTTGCTAAAGTGCCAAAATCCAACACCCAGCTTCACATGCCTTCATATGTACCAAGGACTAGCAGGCTGTGGAACTCCTTACCAGCCTCGGTCTTCGCTGACAGTCCTAATATAACTAAGTTCAAGATTGCTGTAAACAGATTCCTGTTGAACTCTTAGAGATTTTCTACTTTATGACAATTATGTACCATGCAATTATGTATTATGTATAATGTATTTGATAGTTTGGGATGGAATGCGCGGGGAATTGATATGAAATCATATTGAACCGAAAATCATCCATATACGATGCTAAGATCAGGTTCACTTTGCACTGATTAGAAAAAATGTCTCTGCAGCGCCAAGAAAAAGCGCAAGGGGGTCCAAAATCTAATCATCTCTTCAATACCTCAAGACTTACCCAACTACCAAATTACATGCCAGTCTTTCCATACTTCCATGACTTAGCGTCCTTAACTCACACCCAAGCATCTAAAGAAAATTAACGCTAACAAAAAAAAAACTTTCTAGGCGAAGGTAATCAGCCTCAACGTGCCAAATCATATCCCATGTGGCTATCAGTGAGTGTTGCTCAGAGCTTTGCTAAATAACTGATTTAGCTGATACTGCAGCAACGTTAAATTTAACGCTAAGGAAACGTGGCAGCGTCGATGAACTTCAACCTTCTGTCACCATGATGTTCTCTCCCTCGGTGTCTGCCTTCAAGATGATTCAGTCAGTTTTGCTCACAGTGGGACTCATCAAAAAACTGACAACTGTGCTAATACAAACGCACGAGAGAAATATTAATGCAATTTCTATCTGCAATAAGTCTGGCGACAATGCCAATTTTTAGGGCTTGCTAGCGCTTTTTTGATTTAACAATTACTCGTGCTGCAAAGTAACTCTACAGATTCTACAATTATTCTTTGAACATCAAATATTATCTATCGTGAAAGTTCATCTGTGTTGGTAGTTACATGTTTAAAGTTAAAACTTTTGTTCCAACACAAAAAAAATTCTCTCACCTAGAG